CATGTTATTCATCTTTGTTAATGTTATGAATTGTGAGTGGATAAATAGAAAATAATCTGTTAAATGAACTTTATATTGCTATTGGTAGTTTTGCATTAGATGGTTATATTGGATTGTCATGTTTTCGTTACTCCGAGACTTCACTTTCGGTGGCTTGACAACCTCTATTGGTTAGTGATATAAATTTTAGGAGAAATTCCATCCCCTCTCGTACGTTGGCTTGTATCACTTTACCAAAGTACAAGGGGAAAGTGGAATTTACCCTCAATTTTAATCACTTGACTGGTGTTTTTATGTTGTCTAATGGTAGAGAAATATAACTTGGAATTAAAAGTTATTTCTCATGTAATTTATTTCTATAAACTTGTTTCAGTGACTTTAATTTTGACGGCGAAAATTTTAATGCCCCTTGTTTGTTTTATCTTCAATATTATTTGAATTTTTTATGATTTTATTTGTTCATGAATTTCTTATATTTTTCAATTAATATTTTTTCCCTCTAAATGTTAGGGTCCATTGGCTATAGATGGTTTCCTTTTCAATTTAGTGAGTTTTGTGTTTACTCCAAATTAAAAATCACGAGTTAAGATTTAGACTCTGATTGAATCATCCATCTCCTTCCTGCTGGCAATACCTCTCATGTTATGTTTAACACTCACTACAAGAAAAACTAGTTTCAGTGACCAAATTCTCAGCGACCATAGCTAAATGGTCACTGAATATTCACATTTAGTAACCAAAAGTAATTTGGTAGCAAAAGTCGGAAGGGTCAAATCCTTTTGCGACCGGCGAACATTTGGTAGCTATAAGTGGTCACTAATAGTTATACACCTTGTAGCAACTAAAGTTAAAGTTTGTAGCGACAATTTTTATGGTCACTATAACTTATTGTCAATAGTGACCAATTTAACATCAATTTTTTTTACGGTTGCTACAAGCCTTTAATTTAACTATTAACAACCATCTAATTGAGTTGTTAGTAACCACTTTAATTTGGTTAGTACGAAACTACTTATGGAAATCTAATCGATTTGATTAGTAATTGAATTTTTAAACAACTCAAGGAATGAAAAGAAAAGAAAGAAAGATGGAGGGCGAAAATGCAAATAATGGAAAAACATAACCAATTCTCATTGTTTCGTTACACGCATTTCTTTCATTCCAAATTATTTCTCTCTTTCAAAAAAATATAATTTATGTCAAAATACTACGGTAGAATACTATTCAAATTGTCATTAAAACAGTAATCTTAATTTTTGAACAATTCTTTATACCTTGAGATATAAAAATAGGGGGTGAAATTGTAAGCTATGAAATTATATGTTTACTTTAAGAGAAATAAAAAGCCATAAGTACTAGATTGCAAATTTTGGAAACTTAAAAAACCTTTGACTCAGATTTAGGTATCCATCAAACCACGACTAGGCCCCTCACCGTCTTCTTTTTTCCGTTTTTCTTCTTTTTTTTAATCAGATTTTTCTCTCCGAGTCACGGTGTGAAATCGATTTGGTTAGGGATTCCGGAACGGAGGGCACCGTTCCCGTTCCGTTCCGGCGAACCCTGGGACCCACCGTTGGAATAATTGTGAGTTTAGATGTACACCGGTGTTGGTGATTTCCGGCAGAGGTCGCCGATGGTGGCCGTAATCTGAAGTTCAGCTTTTGGCTCTTCAAAGAATTAAATGAACGGAGGTCTTAGCGGTGGATTATTGATGATAGAAGGTACCGTTACAAACCTCGAGAAATATGAAGACCTAAATATCATCATCTAATTGTTTTTCTTCCTGGTGTTATTTTTCAAATGTTAAGATTATTAATGGTAATAAGTAACAGAACTCGATTTTTTTCTTCTCCTTTTCCACCATAAAAAGAAAAATTAAGCAACGGAAAGATTCGAGTTGCAGAGTGATAAGCGGTTGTAAAGTTATAATTACAATGGCTTGACTCAATTTCGAGACGGAAATTCAGCCTGCTCGCCAGAACCCTAAGGGAAATAAAATCTGCTACCGCACCTGTTTTGGAGCCAAAATTGAAGGGTTTGGAGTGTGAATTTGGGAATAATTCCTTCTCAAAACTCGTAGAGGACCTCGAAAACTAAATGTAAGTGGTTAATTTTTTCCAATTCGAGCACGTGGTATAGCCTTTTAGGGGTCGGAATCAGACGACAGTGAATCTGTCAAAAAACAGGGCAGTTTTGCCTAATCATCTTACGGAGCTGTTTTTGTTATGTTGGAGTAATAATTTAGGCTATGTGTCTTCTGAAGTTTTGTATATTGAGTTGTCAGGTTTGATTTTGTATATTTTGTGGTCGATTTGGATAACTCTACAAATTGTTATGATTTTTCAAATAAGCTGTGACAGCAAACGACTTTGTCCAAAACAATTCTGGCAGTTTTTTCTGTATTCATCTCTTCGGGCTGTTATTGCTGTGTTATCTTAGTGATTTGGGTTGGTATCTTCGCGAAAATTGTAGATAAAGTTGTGACCTTTTATTTGGTATATTATTTTTCCAATTTGGATAAGCGTACGGCCTGCTACAATTTTGGGAAGAAAATGTGACAACAAATAACGTTGGATTTTAGTTTAATGTTCGTAGTCAGCATCAATCTGAGTCATCAGTTATTTGAAATTTGTCTTATGCACATTGAGCAACAATAAAGTAATGTGATCGAAAGTGAAGCTTAAGAAACTAATGGATTCTTATTTCAGGTGTGTTATTCGTTGTTGTTTACCTAAGAAAATTTTGGTCTATGGTGCTGCTGTTGGTGCTAACTCGAGGTGAGAAAACTTTGTTAGTTATTTCTTCAAGTTATTTACTTAATTCGTGTGGCACGTCTTATTTTGATCAAGTAATGCTATTGGAGAAAATTGATTTCAATGGGAAGAAACTTCTACACAAAAAGGTCGGTCCAATGTATTGAATTTTGTTCTTTGGTACCATATATTTAGGTTCAAGAGTGTTATTTATTTATTTTTATTTTTTTCTATGTAATATATTTATTGGTGTTTAATAGGAAAAAATATTATTTGCTATGATGTGCAGGAATTATACATAACATCATATGGGTATGTTAAGTAAATTCTTGGTTGGACGATATTGAGTCAGTATTTGGTAATGTATTGATCTCATCGTTACGATTTTTGCTAAATATTCTTAATTTTTGTTCTCTCTTTTATGAATGCAAGGACCATGTTTTTTTGACATGTATAAATTTGAACGAAACAACACTCTTACTTCATATGGAGCTGACATAGAAAGTAGTATTAGCTTACCGGGTGTTGCTCATGATTATACGAGATTTATTTGTCGTGGATCCAGGTATACCGTACGTTATATAAAAATGAACCATAAAGTTTGTCAAAATTCTACTTCTTATTTTCTAATTGATTTTTTTTTTCCATTTTTCAGATGAAGTGAAAGAACGTTATCATGGAAGTCATATTTGTTGTCGCTTAACAATTTATGAAGTGGAATTTATTATGAAATAATTATAGGAATCTTTCTTATTACTTGGAATGATTGATTTATTATTGTATTGAGTATGATAGATTGAAATTATAATATTCACATTTGATTGATAATATGTAAATTTAAAATCTTTAGTTTTATTTTAATTATTTTTTTACACCCACTGTTGCAAATAAACATTAATGATTAATGTAATCAATTAATTATTGGTCTGAATTGGTCAGTAAATTTAATAAATGTCGAAACCATGTAAAAACTACTGCAACCAATAATATGGTCACTATATGTATATATTTTAGCAACCAATAAATATATTATTTATCAACCAACATATATCGTCACTAGTCACTATATGTATATTGTCTAGCAACCAAAAAATGTGGTGGCCAAATATATATCCTATAGCAACAATAAAATATGGTCACTATAAGTATATATCATTTAGCGACCAAAATTATATGGCCACTATATATGTTGCTATAGCAACCATGTTAATATTATTGCCACCATAAAATTTACATTAGCGAGTCAAAAATTGGTCGTTAATAATTATATTGTTAGTGACCATCATTAGTTCGCCGCTAAATCTCATCTTTTAGCGTCCAATTAATTTTCTTGTCGCTGAGTACTTTTAGTAACTACCCTGTTGTGACCACCGGTGACCAAGCTTAATTTGGTCGCTAGAAGTTTTAGCTACCATTTTCTAACTTTTAGCGACCATACATAATCGTCACTAAAACCAATATTTCTTGTAGTGACTTGTATTCGTTCCCGTGCTCTCATAAGAAATTTTAAAGTTATTAGATATATTAAATTCCTTTAACACAAATCTGAACTTGGCAAGCATGGTGCTTTCTTCAATTTCTTCGATCTGGTTTCCGTTACTATTCAGGTGAGTTTCAGGGAGATATTATTATAGAAAATCTATGAGTCATTCAAGGGGATACTATAGTGAATTATGCCAGTATACTTTATATGATTTATCAATGCTATTATTGGAGATATTAGTATTAAATGATACACTTCACTAAAAGCTTAAGCTTTTGGTTGAGGTAGTAATTCAACATGGTATCAGAGTTAGACCAAATAAAAATTCATGAGTTCGAATCCCACCACCACCCATTTCAAATTTCAAGTGCAAGGCTTCAAATGTAATTCGCTTGAACTTTAGGGGGCGAATTGGAGATATTAGTATTAAATAATAATAGCTTAAGTTTTTGGTTGAGGTGGTCATTCAATAGTTATATTTGGTTTTTTTTTTTTTGTTCCCTTTATAGCAAGTCGATGTGATCCGTCAAAACTACAGATAAGGATGTAGGATGTACGCCATATTTCATAGACATAGCAGACAGGGAATTACAACCGTACAGGTGAAGTCAACAATAAATGGATTCTCCAATCCATGGTGTAGTCACATGATTATGAAACTGATAGTTGAAGGACAAAATGAAGCCACCCAAAATGCATAAGCAGAAATTTCAGCTCAATCTTGTATTCTCGAATGCTTTTACTCAATAGTTAGTTTATAGGAAGCTAAATGAAGAAATGGTTGTACATGTAGTCCGTTTTTTGTTTTGATATTTCATGACATACCAATGGCTGAAGACAAACTGTTTTAGTTTCATTAATATATTTCATTGTTTTATTTAGAACTGTAGCAGGTTTTACTGTATAAAGGTCAAGATTATGCTCTTGCCACGCTATTTTAGAATCATTCATATAGACAACCTACTCAGTGCTCTAGAAGAAAGAAGGCACATTTTACTACCCTTGAGATGTAAGTTCCCTTGAGATATATCTTTCTATCTTTGTTACATATCAATGATATCATTGTATAC